TCAGTTGATAAAACCCAAATTACCTTGTTACTCCCACCAACACAACACCACAGTTTCTTTGGAAACTTACTCCCTTGATTCATTTATCTTCATTTTATAATTTGTTTTCAAACTTTCTGACTGTAAATGAATGCATTTTCAAGGAAACCAAATCAAACTTTTGTTGCCATTGATTTATAAAGTTTCTGTTACAGTTACTGCAATATATCACTCTATTTTTTTAAGGTATGCTGACCATCTCCTACAACTGGACAATGGTGTCAAAGTTCCCCCAAGGTTAGTTATGGTTATTACAACTTTGTTTGTGAAGTTCAACATGTAAGATGCAGTGCATTAGCATCTGGGTTGAGAGGTTCACGTTTTAGACCTAGCTAGCTGGGTCAGTGTGTCATGTTTCGCACAAAAAGGTTACTATCACAGTGCTTCTCTCCACTCAGGAATATGTGTGTCAGCATACTTGCAAATTTTCAGGGAAGCCTTATGAAATACCAGGGGGGTAACCCTTGTGTTGGACTAGCATCCCATCTAGGGGGAAGTATTGATACTCCTGAGAGCTCCATGCTAAGGAAACCATGCTCCAGCTGGATCAGGGCCATTTCGCTCCAGTACAGACTTCTGGAGTTCAACACAGATACATTCTGACTTTCTTTTTTTAATTCTTCACACTTCAATTATTGTTTCAGTTGTATCCTTTTTTTTAATTATTCTTTCAGAGGCTGGAAGTGTTCAAAATGTGATTTAACGGAAAATTTGTGGATGAACTTAACTGATGGAACAATTTTATGTGGCAGGAAATATTTTGATGGTTGGTGTAATTTTTCTTTTTATTGGAATTTTTCAAATTCATGCATTTGTTTCAACCAACTCAGATGTAAAAGAGTGCACTAGCTTGTTTGTAATGTAATGCTCAAGGCTATTAACTTTAGGTACTTGAATAGGCAGACAACAAGAGGTAGATTGAAAAGTTTTAACCTAGATTGATTTAAACTCATGTAGAATCAAACTTTTTTCTTTCCTCTCTAGGATCAGGGGGCAATAACCATGCTGTTGATTATTACAAGGAGACAAAATAACCATTAGCTGTTAAACTTGGGACAATCACTCCTGATGGGGCAGGTACAAAATAAAATGCAAAAATTTAATGTTACATTGTAGTTTTAAAACCCTCTGGTTCAGTGTCTCAATCATGCATACAATGCTTTCAATAAGATTTGAAATAGGTGGCTACCTCGGTACAACACCCGCCGGAAAGAGACTTGATTGCGACTTAGCGTGGTGACTGTGACTTGAGCGTGGTGAAATATACCGGGCGATTCACAACAGAATACCCGCCGGAGCTCCGGCGGGTGCCGGGTCTTATTGAAAGCACTGTGCATAATATTTTTGCTGTTCAACATACTTGAAATGCTCTGCAATCAAAAGGATCTGACCTCATCCCCATAATTTAATCACAGAATGTACAAGAAGGAAAAATGTCAAGGTCCAGACCTTTCTTACATTGTACATACATCGTGCTCAGTGTCCTGGAACATTTTATTTGTCATGTAATTATTTTAGGTCACAGACGGAGAATTGCAACTTAGAATTGCTCAGTATTTACATGTAGATCTATTACTTGAAAGTGTACTTCCCCAGAAGAATAATTATACCATTCACCAGGAAAACACCAGGTTAGTCTATTTGCACACATGTAATGACCAAGTAATTAACTAAAATTGTTCAAAGTACATCCTATACATGAAATCTGGAGAGATGTTAATGTGTGTGATCTTGCTCTTGTCTTGAAGATGTGTTTTCTTATGACGAAGATGACATGGTTGAGGATCCAAATCTAGCTCAGCATCTTGCTCACTTTGGGATTAAGATTACTCAGATGGAGAAGGTATGTGCATATACACTTTGACCCTATTCTGATAACTCTATTGAAAATACAACCCCATTATATTCAATCCACTCATGAAAATGCAACCCCTTCTATCTGCTAGTGGCACATCCCTATTACCATAATTTACTTGTAAGTACTAACCCCAGGCCATGGGATTGGTGTTGCTATTCAAGGTCTACCACATCACCCAATTGACAAATAGCTGCTAAAGATTGTAAAATTCTTGAATACTCTGTAGCAGTAATTCTTATTTTATCTTTCATTCCCCTGATTTGTTTCCCTGTCTCCCCCCTCTTACCAATGCTGTACTCCAGTCTGTGATTGTACGAATTTGAATAAAGAAGGGGGGAGGTATTTTTCCAAGGTGGGGTGAATTGTGAAATTCGTTTGTCTTCTTTTTTTTTTTTTTAATCATCATGCCCTCAGACAGACAAGACAATGGCTGAGTTGGAGATTGACATTAACATTAGGATAAGAGAGTGGGATGTTATACAGGTAAGCATTTTATGATTAATTATGACAACCTCTTAAAAGATATATATATTTTTTTTATTTCTTGAATGATGTTTTTGTTTCAGTCTTTGTGATTCATGATTATTTTCTTTTCCCATGAGGCTTTCTGACTTCAAAGATTATAAAGAGACTGAATAATACTTTTGTAATCTGCTGTTTATGTGCAACTGAGTCCGTCTTAATGTGTCTGATTTTATTGTCTATTCAAGGAATCAGGCAAGAAATTGACTCCCCTATATGGCCCTGGCTACACTGGACTGAAGAATTTAGGAAATAGGTAAACAGTAAAACCTGTATCATTCGATAGGGCGACGCCCTGTATTAAGTGGAAGCAATGCGAAGTCCCAATTTCATATTTCCTCTGAAAAAACCTGAATTAGCAGACTCTTCTGTCAAGCAGACATGGACACACACTATTTCAGCTTTGTTATGATCTTAAAACTCGGCTCAATACAAGTGAATTTCCACCTGATCGATGATACAGGCCTCAACTTGAATGCATATGGACTCACTTTGTACCGGTGCATATAGCCATCTACATCTTTCATACTGGAATTACATCTTACTAACCGAATTTTCAGAGATCTACATTCGCACTTATGACCCGAGCGCGAAGTTCAATTTAAACAAACGTTCGAATTTAGTGGGCCGGACAGTGGGCCGGACAGTGGGTCGTACAGTGAAATGCGGCAAAACTAAACTGAGCAATCTTAGCGCGCGTTTTAACTGAGATATTGAGTAACTGTGTTTAGGATGTGCAGTACTACAAAGTACTATCGTATTATTTCATGGTCATCGTTAGATAGGGGTACGCATTTCTCTTTTCTTTTCAGCTGTTACATGAACTCTGTCCTTCAAGTTCTGTTTACACTTCCGGAGTTTAAACAAAGGTAACAAAATTGTTGATATCGCTAACATTATTTTATTTGTACTTACCGAGCCTTCTAAAAGTCCTAAAGTGTTCATTGTATGGCATTCAGGCGTACCAAATATCTTGCTAATTTATTGTCTTAATTATTGATTATAACCATGATCATTACGACTGCGTTGAAGTTTGTTCTATAGTGTCACGCCATTCAAGGGAATGGAGAATGGTTGACAGGCTTTTTGCTCATATTTGAATTCATACTGAATTATGGAGCGCTTTTCGATTTAGTGTTGTAAAACCACAACAATTACAACAACCAATCCCAAAAAAGAAAATGTCATGAGGAGGTTATGAAAACTCAAAATAAAAACAAGCAAACTGTTCGAAGCGCAGGAAAACGCGTCTGACCGACAGAGCTGAATAATGAAATGCTACGTCGGCGGGTATGCGTTCAACGAAGCGGGCTCAAGAGTCCTTTGTCTAAAAATTTAGCGAAATTAGCGGAAAATAATAAGGGCTGACCTTTAAGACCGAGGAACTCTATTTTCGTCGAAGGCACTTTCCTATTTCCAAAGGTTTAAAGTAGAAAATGAATTTTTTAAAATTTTTAGGGGGTGTACCAAATTTTTGGAGGTTGCCTGTAAAAGAAAAGCGGCAAGGAAAACGACGCCTCGGAGCAACAGAATAGGAAATCAACCATGCGAACGACTCAAAATCCGTGTTTCCGCGACAAAACCTGGCGCATGCGTATACGTTATTCAGCTCTGTCTCCGCGTGCACTATAACTCGAAATAGGCATCGGAGGCACATAAATCTTTAATAAATTTCTGATAAAATATGAATATCCCGAGACAAATAAAAACATGTGCAGTGCGCTGAAATATACATATGTGAAAAATAGAACTTGCTGCGTATTTATAAAAGATCATTATCTAAAAATTAAACTATGTACTTTTAATCTATGAACACCAACAACATCTAGGTTACTTCTCACATAGACAGCAATTCCGCCTCTTTTTCCTCAACAATACTCCTGACCAGTTTCTGTCCCGTCTGAATATGTTTTAGATATGTATGCTGACAATAGATTCAGGTTTATCTGGCTCAAGGTGTGTTTAGGAGGCGACGCAAACATCAATAGTCGTTCTTCTTTAAATGATCTTCGAGTGTACAGCAGCTCTAAACCAGTTCTTTATTTTAGTTTGGCTACAAATGTTCGTAAATAAAAATTTTGAAACAGCAAACTCGCATTTCGGACTTTACTGACTTGGTGTAGATGACGTCGATTGTCTGGTCATATTTACTGTAAAGACGAGTCAAGGTAGCGGTACCGGTGTTGGCGGGAGAACAGAAATTATTTGGCTCGAGGTCGTGATGTACAGACCGAATATAGCACGTTCCATGCCTCGTAACCGACAGCCAAATATTTTCCCGTCCAGTCCGACCAAACTTGATTAACAAGCATCTTATCATATGACCACTTCGAAAATTTGTTTTCAACTCCAAATAAGATTTGGTTTCAAATAGGACACGGTGCAAGAGCGCACGCTGAACAATCACAATAAAGATCCTAGAG